TGGGCAGGCAGACCCCGGCAATTCATACCTGGTGGCCGAAATTGTGGGAAATTCTTGACGCTTCGCGCATCCCCGCCAGCCCATCCTACACCAGGCACTCGAACGAAGAGCGCCGATGATCGGCAGCTGTTCTCCTCCCCTCTTCCTCCTTCTCCTCCGCCTTCTCCTCCTCCTCCTCTCCTCCTCCTCCTCCTCCCTCTCCTCCTCCTCCTCCTCCTCCTCCTCCTCCTCCTCCTCCTCCGCCTCTTCCTCCTCCCTGGTGGCGTATTGGCAGTGTCTTCGAACGTTTTGGTGGGCTATTGGGCCTTGCGGGCGGGCGGGCGGCGCTCCGCCCGCCCGCGCGCAGGGCCCGAGACGGAGTCCAAGACGTCTCTCGGAGCCATCTTGGAGGAGATCGATCAACGAAGGGGGGTTCCTAAATTTCAGCCCCCCCCTCAGGAGCCACGATCCTCTTGAGGGGTGTCGAATTTTAGCCCTCCCAGGGGTCGATCATGGACGCTCTGACCGATCGCGGCCCTCCCCGAAGGGGAAGAAGGAGGGGTGGAAGAGGAAACGCTCTAAACCACCGACGCCCAGAGGGCTGGTGGGACTAAGTTTGACCAATATGCTCGCCCAAGGTCTTGCCCAGCCCTGGAGGCCTTTCATTGGCTGAACGAAGAGGATGACTTAGTCACTCCTTTGAGAGGCTGGGATAGGTGGCACATGACTAGATCAAATGTCTTTGTTCCGACGCTTCAAACAATAGATGGAGTGGTACATTTAGGGAGACCGTGGTTACCCGCGCAGAATGCAGGCGCCTTGGATGAAGAAAATGGGAACAATGCCGGAGAAAACAACCCTCCTGCGCGATTACCACTTGCCTGGGAGAACAATTTTAGAGCGAGGCCGACTCGCAGTTCTCAGTCCGTCTCAAGACGGATTAGTGAGTGTCGGGACCACCGCCTCATTGTCCCGGTGTTGCGACATGCCACCAGCGAAGCCGCGATGGCAGGCGAACAATCACAGATGGATCTGGATCTTTCAGCAATCAGCGGGCCTAAGGCCGCGCTGATAACCGACGGAACGATCACTCTTGATCATTCTGAAGGACACGTATACAACCACCGCGAAGACCATGCGATCAAGGTAACATTGTTCGGGACAGCGGTTCGGGCAATTGCAGCTCATTGTGTCGTTGAACACAGGCGCGAGTCCTACTAATCCTGGCAGGGTTACCCTGACAGGAACTACAGAACACGAGATCCCGGAGATCATCAAGACCATAGTAGATGACAATTGGTTGGCCTCTGTACAACAAATGCAACTGGGCCTTCGGCCCATAAGGATTTTTGCAATTGTCCGCGAAATCATCAGCTTCTTCATATCGGAAGGATACTTGATTGGCTACCCGGGGCGAATCATTCGTCCCGATATGGCGCGCACGGATGATATTGCTTCGGAACGACGGACAGACGAGCATGCCCTTGACTGCCGCATCCGTGCCGCTGTTCAAACGGACGACAGAATAGAAAAGTGTGCTCATAAAATGGGCAGGAAAGTGCAACATGATGTCCGTTGCCACGGTGCTCTTATACGAGAAGCCATTTCTTGGCTTCAGGATAAATATCCTGACCCTGGAACAGAACTCCAGGACAAAGATCATGGACACTTCCGTACTGCATGCGGAAATTAAGGTGTCGCTGCGGCGACAGCTGCCAGGAGTTTAATACAGTTCATGAGAGATCGTAAGAATGATGATCCTGACCACGACGGCGAAGCCGAGCTCGTGGGACCACGATGGGCGACGGACGGAGCGAAGGCTAGACCTGTATCGCGCCCTCCGCCTCTTAGACCTGGCGTCTCAGACGTTCGGGTTTCCGAAGAAGCCACTGAGTCCCCGTGTTCTGTCGCCGGCTCAGCCGCGGCGACTAGGGAGATGTACCCTCAGCATCCCAGCACAAGGGATCGGTCGGATTCCCGGCGCGCGCGCGATGGGGCCATGGATGCTGCCAGCGGCGCTGCGGACTACAGCTACGAGTGCGACCCGTCCGCGTCCTACCCGCGCTACGTGAACAAAATCCATGCCGGGTGATACGTCCATCGGAACAGGATCACGTGGCTGCCCGACGACGAGTGATATACTCTGGACTACTGGCACGTGCTATCTAAATATGAGGACGAGGCACGCTTCCCGTCAAAAGGGACAGCATCCAAGAGCAACGCTGACAAAGGAAGAGGGCGGTCCCGCACGCCTCGTGGCGGAGACGGACAAACTGGAGGATCGGCGTCGTCGAACCCGCCGCCTCCGGCGCCGCCCAGGGCAGAGGGCGAGTTCAACACGTTTGAGGACTTGAACTGCGTTTCGCCCGCGTGACTCAGTCGCGGCAGGCGCATGCAAGACAACTTCGTCCACGCGCGGAACGCGTGTTGGATGTGGATGCCTCTGCTGGTCGGCTAAGCTGGTCCAGCGGAGAGAATTTATTTAACATAGTGGTGGGAAACGTCGAGCCTCTTCGGCCCTTGGCCCCCTGGCAGCCACCGTTGAGCTGTAAAAGCTTTTGGGGTTGGCTCCGGTGGTTGTACATATGTACAAGCCGGGGGTGCCGTGGCTGGATGGGCTGTGCGCGGCCCGCCGCGGGGGGAGTGAATATGCTCCTCTCCGCCTCATATTCAATGAGAACTTAACATAACTTGCATGCATTGCACTGTCCGCTGGAACTAACAGCTGCATCCTGCAGCTGTATGGATGCTCAAACAAGCCAGCCTTGGCTTGCAGGAGAGAAAAAGAGCGCGCCAGCCCTCGGCCGTCGCGCGTCGTCGGTCGTAGGCCAGCCGGCCTCCTCCCTTCACATTCCTGATAGAGTAATCTTGCTTAACGGATACTTGTCTTATCGATGTCTCATCCCGTCCCCTCTCTCCCTGAGCAGAGTGAACGTGAGATCTTAATTCCTTCGGCATCTTATCCCGATTCTCAGAGGAAAGACTTTATACGCCGACCCCGACTAGACCTCGCTGCCCTCTGGGGGGTACTACCACCTGCGCAATTGTCGCCACTTCCGTGGGCTCCTTGGAGGCCCAGCGGAATGGGGACATACGCGGACCCAGGCTAGACATCGCGGCTTCCCGGGGGTGCTGTTATTGTCACAACGTTTGTGGCCTCCTTGGAGGCTCAGAGGAGTGACGTTATACGCGGACCTATACTAGACCTCTCGGCTTCCTGGGAATGCTGCCACCTGCGCAACTGTCGCCACCTTGCGGTTTGAGTTTCGCGAGCGTGTGCGTGTTCGTGAAGGGGAGGTGGGCGTTGAATGTGGCCCGACGCTGTTTGGACACGCGTTCAAGAGTGCTGCAGGTCTCTCAACATGTTTTTCGTATGGAGTTCTCCCATGTATAGCCACCTCATTGGCAGGAAGGGTCGGGTATTGTATATGTCCTCGGAGCGGCCGTGGAGTGCACCAAATAGTGTAAATTGCGTGTAGTGCGCCTGTCGCGGGAGGCTGGCCCGAGGGAGGCGTCAGAGGAGGCGCAACGAAGCATGGCAATAGTGCAGCGACGACACCTCCTTCACCAGATCCGAGTGCCCACGCCATCCTTTGCGTGTGGAGAGCCATTGTTCCGTCAACGAGAGTTCGTTGTGTAGGAAGGTGTGTCTGCGCGTCGGGTAACGCCAGCCTGCTGAAGCAAAGGTCGAAGACACCGTTACTTTGACGATTCCATCTGCACTGGCGGCGAAGAAAGTCGCGTGCAACACGCACCAGCCGAATGGCAAGTTGAAGTCAAACGCAGTGGAGGTGCGGTGTCCACGATGGAGCTGCAGTGGCATGAGGAGAAAGGCTGTTGGCTTCCATGCGTCTCACGTCTGTGCTCTGCTGGTGAGGGGCCACACAAGTCCAGGGTTGCTGTCGTCGCGGGTCGTTGTCTTGATCGTCATTTTGGCGGTGCGGCTCGGAATGCTGCGACTGGAGGGCATCGGCGGCGTTGTGCGCTCCCTGCGCTGTAGGCACAGCGCCGCAAAGAAATATCCCATCGGACACGCGAATCCAGTCCGAGACCGGCTTCAACACAACAAACCGTCCCCCCCAGCCTTCCACGGTAAGTTGTAGTGAGCAGGACTTCAAAGGAACAGAGTCCGTCTTTGGCGAGAAATCGAAGAAGAGTTGGCATCCGAAGTGTGGGATGCAGGGGAAGCCGCTCTCACAGATCTGTGACAAACGCCAGGCGGGTCAACATCTTCGCCTGTCCACCGGAAGATGACGCTTGGCCCCAAAGGAAGAATCAAGACGATGACGATCTCTATCCGACGTCACTTGAAAATGCGAAGGCGACCGACGCGCGCTCGCGCGCTCTCGTGTCCCCGATGCGTTTGGGCGACCTGGTCGAATTTTTCGCCCCTGCCCGAAACCGCCGCACGTTGGCTCCCGCATGCTGCGATTGCTGCGGGCCCCATGTCGTCGTCCATACCCTCCCCATGCCAACTCATCCCTGTTCTTTGCCGTCCCCCCCAGCTTCAGTTTCCTCACGTTGAATATTCTTCATTTTCCTACGGCGGGGGTGTTGGATAAGGAATGTCCTCCGAGGGGCCAGACCCTGGCGCATTCCTTCCTGCGTCGAGGCGGGGTGGGCGGCCCGCGTCTTGCCTCCCATCGGTCGCGAGACCCTGGGTTCCTTATCCAAGGGTTCCTTATCAAAGACCCCCGCCGTTTTCTTTTTCTTTTTCTTCCTCTCCTCCGCCTGTCCCCCGTCCCTCAGAACTGGCCCCCAGATCTGTCCTGGGGCGCGGCTTGACGAAGACTCTAAGGCGAGGCCAGCCGACGAGGCTGAAGACGGGCAGAAGACGTCTAACTGTCTCTTCCTCCTCCGGGCGTCCTCGTCATCCGTCTCCCCTGTCTCCAGCTCCTGGGCACGGCGCGTCCCCGAGCCGGGTCTGCATCGAATTGGCGAGCGCGGCGGCTGCCACGGGCTTGGCCCCGGCGCCGCGCGCGCGTTCGCCGCGGGGGCGCCCCCCGGCAGCGCTTCCAGAGGGCCAGCCCGCAGTCCAAGAAAGCCGTCGGCAACGCGTACCGGCAGAAGTGCGACAGAGGCGCTCGCAAGAGCAGTGGTTGTGGCATTGGTGCTAGAAGTAGTGTTGATGGCAACCGCAGCGCACCCTCAAAGTTCGTGTGGGCATAGGATCAAGCAGCACTAGACTAGCATTCCCAGAGTTCTCAGCAGCCGTACTCGATTCGTTGTTGGACGAAAGAGTGGTAGTGGCAGTGGTAGCGGACAACCTTGTAATCTACAGGAGAGCAGTGGTGTTTTTAGTAGTCGTAGGCGTAGTAATGGTAGTAGTAGTAGTAGTAGTAGTAGTAGTAGTAGTAGTAGTAGTAGTAGTAGTAGTAGTAGTAGTAGTAGTCGTAGTAGTAGTCGTAGTCGTAGTCGTAGTAGTAGTAGTAGTAGTAGTAGTAGTAGTAGTAGTAGTAGTAGTCGTAGTCGTAGTCGTAGTAGTAGTAGTAGTAGTAGTAGTAGTAGTAGTAGTAGTAGTAGTAGTAGTAGTAGTAGTAGTAGTAGTAGTAGTAGTAGTAGTAGTAGTAGTAGTAGTACTAGCACTAGTACTAGCATTAGCACTAGCACTAGCACTAGCACTAGCACTAGTAGTAGTATCAGTAGTAGTAGTGGTAGTAGTAGTAGTAGTAGTAGTAGTAGCAGTAGCAGTAGTAGTAGTAGTAGTAGTAGTAGTAGTAGTAGTAGTAGTAGTAGTCGTAGTAGTAGTGGTAGTAGTAGTAGTAGTAGTAGTAGTAGTAGTAGTAGTAGTAGTAGTAGTAGTAGTAGCAGCATTGGTAGTAGTAGCAGTAGTAGTAGTAGAAGTAGTAGTAGCAGCAGGAGTAGTAGTAGCAGCAGCAGCAGCAGCAGTAGTAGTAGTAGTAGTCGTCGTCGTCGTCGTCGTCGTCGTAGTAGTAGAAATATCATTAGTAGTAGTAGTAGTAGTCGTCGTCGTCGTAGCAATAGTGATAGTAGTAGTAGAAGTACTAGTAGTAGTCGTTGTAGTATCATTATTATGATTAGTAGTAGTAGTAGTAGTCGTAGTCGTAGTGGTAGTAGTAGGAGTAGTAGTAGTAGTAGTAGTAGTAGAAGTAGTAGTAGTAGTAGTAGTAGTAGTAGTCGTAGTCGTAGTCGTAGTCGTAGTCGTAGTAGTAATAGTAGTAGTAGTAGTAGGAGGAGGAGGAGGAAGAGGAGTAGTTGTAGTAGTAGTCGTCGTAGTCGTAGTAGTACCGGTAGTAGTAGAAGTAGCAGCAGTAGCAGTAGTAGTAGTAGTAGTAGTAGTAGTAGTAGTAGTAGTTGTAGTAGCAGCTCTAGTAGTTGTCGTCGTTACCGTCGTCGTCGTAGAAGGAAAAGAAGTAGTAGTTGTGGTAGTGGTAGTTGTAGTGGTGGTGGTATTGCTAGTGGTATTGTTAGTGCTACCAGTACCAGCATCAGTGATGGTAGTCGTAGTAGTACTACCACTACTACTACTACTACTACTACTACTACTACTACTACCACTACTAGTAGAAGTAGTAGTAGTAGTAGAAGTAGCGGTAGTAGTAGTAGCCGTAGTCGTAGTAGTAGTAGTAGTAGTAGTAGTAGTAGTAGTAGTAGTAGCAGTAGTAGTAGTAGTCGTAGTAGCAGTAGCAGTTGCAGTAGTAGAAGTCTTGGTAGTACCAGTAGTAGTAGTAGTAGTAGTAGTAGTAGTAGTAGTAGTAGTAGTAGTAGTTGTAGTAGTAGTAGTAGTAGTAGTAGTAGCAGTAGTAGTAGTAGTAGTAGTAGTAGTAGTATTAGCAGCAGTAGTAGTAGGAGTAGGAGTAGGAGTAAATGTAGCAGTCGTAGCAGCTGTAGCAGTAGTATGTGTAGTACTAGTCGGAGTAGCAATAGCAGTACGAGTAGTAGTAGCCGTAGGCGTAGCAATACTCGTAGCAGTCGTAGCAGTAGAAGAAGTAGTAGTAGTAGTAGTAGTAGTAGTAGTAGCAGTAGTAGTCAAAGTCGTAGTCGTAGTAGTCGTAGTAGTAGTAGTAGTAGTAGTAGTAGTAGTAGTAGTAGTAGTAGTAGTAGTCGTAGTAACAGTAGCAGAATCAGTCGCAGGAGTAGTAGTAGTATCAGCTGTCGTAGTAGTAGCCGTAGTAGTGGTAGTAGTAGTAGTAATAGTAGTAGTAGTATTAGTAGTTGTTGGTTTAACAGTAGTAGTAGGAGTAATCGCAGAGAGCGAAGCAGTACTAGTCGTAGTCATGGGTGTCGTAGTTGTCGTAGCCGTTGTAGTAGCCGTAGTCTTTGCCACACTATCAGTTGTAGTTGTGAAGACTTGAAGTCGTCGTATTTGTAGCGTGGCAGTAATAGCAGTAGTAGTAGCAGTAGTAGTAGTAGTCGTCGTAGTAGTAGTAGTAGTAGTAGTTGTCGCCGTAGTAGTAGTAGTACTAGTCGTCGTCGTAGTAGTAGTTGTAGTGGTGGTAGTAGTAGTCGTGGTAGTAGTAGCAGTAGTAGTACTAGTAGTAGTAGCAGTAGTAGTAGTGTTCGTAGTTGTAGTAGTAGTAGAATTAGTGGAAGTAGTTGCCGTAGTCGCCGTAGTAGTAGTAGTCGTAGTAGTAGTAGTAGTAGTAGTCGTAGCAGCAGTAGTAGTAGTAGTATTATTATTAGTAGTAGTAGTAGTAGTAGTAGTAGTCGTAGTCGTAGTCGTAGTAGTAGTAGTAGTAGTAGTCGTAGAAGTAGTAGTAATAGTAGCAGTCGTAGTAGTAATAGTACTAGTAGTAGTAGTAGTAGCAGCAGTAGAAGTAGTAGTAGTAGTAGTAGTAGTAGTAGTAGTAGTAGTAGTAGTATGGGTAGTAGTAGTAGTAGTAGTCGTAGTAGTAGTAGTAGTAGTAGGAGTAGCAGGAGTAATAGTAGTAGTAGTGGTAATATTAGTAGTGGTAGTAGCAGTCGTACTAGAAGAAGTTGCCATAGTAGTAGTAGTAGTAGTAGTAGTAGTAGTATTAGTAGTAGGAGTAGTAGTAGTAGTAGTAGTAGTAGTATTAATAGTAGTAGTAGTACTAGTAGTAGTAGTAGTAGTAGTAGTAGTAGTAGTAGTAGTAGTAGTAGTAGTAGTAGTAGTAGTAGTAGTAGTAGTAGTAGTAGTAGTAGTAGTAGTAGTAGTAGTAGTAGTAGTAGTAGTAGTAGTAGTAGTAGTAGTAGTAGTAGTAGTAGTAGTAGTAGTAGTAGTAGTAGTAGTAGTAGTAGTAGTAGTAGTAGTAGTAGTAGTAGTAGTAGTAGTAGTAGTAGTCGTAGTAGTAGTAGTAGTAGTAGTCGTAGTAGTCGTAGTAGTCGTAGTCGTAGTAGTCGTAGTAGTCGTAGTAGTAGTAGTCGTAGTAGTAGTAGTAGTAGTAGTAGTAGCAGTAGTAGTAGTAGTAGTAGTAGTAGTAGTAGTAGTAGCAGTAGTAGTAGTAGTAGTAGTAGCAGTAGTAGTAGTAGTAGTAGTAGTAGTAGTAGTAGTCGTAGTAGTAGTAGTAGTAGTAGTAGTAGTAGTAGTAGTAGTAGTAGTAGTAGTAGTAGTCGTAGTCGTAGTAGTAGTAGTAGTAGTAGTAGTAGTAGTAGTAGTAGTAGTAGTAGTAGTAGTAGTAGTAGTAGTAGTCGTAGTAGTAGTAGTAGTAGTAGTATCAGTAGCAGTAGCAGTAGCAGTAGCAGTAGCAGTAGCAGTAGTAGTAGTAGTAGTAGTAGTAGTAGTAGTAGTAGTAGTAGCCGTATTAGTAGGAGGCGAAGTAGCGGTGGCCACGTCTGTACATCATTGGCGCAACGAGCTCATTCCAAAGACCGCCGCCCGTCTCGGAGCGTCTGGTATCGTACTACGGTCTATTTGCATATTCGTATTGCCTCTGATCTCCACGCTCCCATGGCGTCATCTGTGGCTGCGGGCGCTTGGGCGTTGGCTGTGGCGCTGGCCTTGCTGGCCTCCGCCCCCCGCCACTGCGAAGGTGCGCACCTTAACGAGGATCGGGAGGCGCTCGCAGTACCTCCGCATACCGATCTTGGCCTGGCCGATCTTGTGCACAGTATGGGTGTATGCGCCCTCCCGACCAGTCGAAGAGGGCACCCGCACCGATCCTGAGCGCAGCATCGGCCCTCGCAGAGACGGTGTGGGGGCTCTGTGGGCGCCCTCCTGCAGGAGTTCGACGCCTTCGTGCGAGCCCACGGCCGCTCGTACCGACGGGGCAGCGATGAGTACGAGCGCCGCAAGGCGCTCTTCCGGCGCCACGCGTGGACGGTGGCGGAGCTCAACAGCGATCCCGACCGGCACTGGGACGCGTCGGTCGGCGAGCTGGCGGACTTCACGGAGGGCGAGCTGGCCGCGCTGCGTGGCTACCGCCCCGGCGCCCGGCCCCGCGGGGCGCCGGCCCCGCTGCAGCTGCGCCAGGAGTCCCGGCCCGGGGAGGAGCTGCTGGCGCTGGACGGGCTGCCGAAGGAGCTCACCGCCCACCACACCACCCCAACCCAACCCGAAGGCCCCCATGTGCCTTCCATTTCCAGTAGGAGGGGGTCGGGGAACAAGGAAAAAACGCCCCACCCCCCCTCACCCGAAATTCGGGTCTTCGGGTTGGGTTGGGGTTGTCTGGTACGTAGTCAGGACTGGAGCTGGAAGAAGCATGGTCTGCAGGCCATGCGGCACGTGGAGACGCAGGGCAGCTGTGGCCCGGAGAGTTCCAAAGGGTGTGGGAGGGGACGGGGTGTTCCGACCGGCGCCCCGTGGCCAGAGCGAAACGGGGGGGCCTCGTCCTGCGCAGCGCAAGCCCCATGCGGACCTGGGCCATCCACGGCTGCCCATCGCGCCCTTTCACCAGGATTCTCTGCTTGCGACAGACGCATCGCCGAAATGGTTGCCGCCTGCCGCAACGACGGCAGCAATTCGCGGGGGACAGGGGTATGGGGTAAACAATGCTGGCCGCCAAGGAAGGCGATATGCCTCCAATGCGCGGGTCGGGCCGGGGAGGGCCGCCGTCGCGCCCCGTCGCCGCCTCATCGCCTCCCGTCGCTCTGGCGGCCATGTTGTCGCCGTCTCAGCCCCGTCGTCGCCTGTCGTCTTGGCCCTGTTGTGCATTGCGGTGTGCTGCTTGCATGGCTTTGCACTGCTGCGCACTGCAACTTGCATTGCTTTGCATTGCTTTGCATTGCTTTGCATTGCATTGATTTGCATTGCACTGCTCTGCTTTGCTTTGCTACGACGTGGCATGCCTTGCGTTGCGTTCCTTGCATTGTTTCGCATTGCTTCGCCGTGCTATTCATTGTATTGCTGCGCTGTGCTCAGGAGTGTTTCGCTTTGACTCCCGCTCTCATCCTTCCTGCTGCTTATCGTGGCTGCTCACTGCGTTGCATTGTTCTCGTGGCTTTGCGCTGCTTTGAGTTGATCTGCGTGGCTTTGTGTTGCTCTGAACTGCATTGTGTGGCTTTGCGTTGTTTGGCATAGCTTTGCACTGCTGTTCAGTGCTTGCCATTGCTTGGCATTGCTGGGCAGTGCCTCTGCATAGCATAGCACAGAAGGGAGAGAGAAGGAGGACCGGGACGAGGAGGAGGACGAGGGGGAGGAGGATGACCCATCGGTCGTTGAAAGTTGGTGTTTGGATTCCCAGATTCCAATCTACTTTAGGCGCCTTCCTACTTCCAAGGATCGAGCGGTTGTTCCTTTTTCGTCCTCGTCAAGGGGGCGGGTAGAAGCCCAATTGATTTCCAACGCCTTCCTACTTCATGTTGCTGCACACTTCTTCCGACCGATGGGTATCCCTACGCCGGGCTGTCACGACGTGGTCAGCGGATTTTACAGGGACCCTCCCGTCTGACAGAAGGACAGCCTTGACACATGTCGGTGCCGATCTAGGGTGCCGCATGTGCTTGGACCGGCCCGCTACGGTGGGGGCAGCGGCTTGTAAATTGTCGGGACCTCCGCGTAAGAGTCGCCCTCCGACCTCACAGTGATACATGCTTTCTCCCCCCCGATCGATTCGCCCCCCTGGGTGCCGCCCCGCTGCCGGCGCGAAGAAAGCAGGCACCTGGGGGGGGCGCCCCGTTCGGCGAGCCACACTGCAGAGTGGGGATCTCGACCCCCCCAGTTGGTTTCGCCTCAGCGGGGGCGACTCGAACAGCTCAGAGAGCCCAGGGCCAGGGGGAGGGGCGCGGAGAGGCGCTCTGTGCCCGCGCACCCCCGTCTGGAAGCGGGAAGCGGGGGGGGGGGGCTGCCCCGTTCCCTTGGATGGACACAGCCCCCCCTTGCCCCTCTCCTCCCGATCTCGCACCCTGCCAACTGAGCGTTACAGGAAAACCTTCGCACTTATAGCTCGCCCTAACTTTGCCTTCGGCGGCTTCAGAGACAGAGAGAGGGAGAGAGACAATGGTTTGGGACGCGATTCGAATCCGTAAAACATGAAGTCGTGTGATATCAAGAATATGGAAACTATGTTAATCGTGAAACCTGCATGCCTGTTGTATTTGTTTTCCTTTCATGTTGCGTTCAGGTTGCGTGTTCAAATTGTTGTTTGTCCATCTGTTTTACAATCACATCAATCACATGTCACACTGCGAACCTCGAGGTATTCAGCAAAGCGCACACTGTATGATCACTTATGCACAGAGCTCAGTAGATGCGCCCTTGTCTTGCTAAGCCCCAAAAGGTTCGCCCATAGGAGACCGCCTATGAGGGTTCACCCATTAGGGGTCGCCCATACGGGTCTGCCATGAAGGTCCGCCATTGGGGGCCCGCTCGCAGGGGTCTTCCGGCAAGGGTCCGCCCAAATGGGGTTAGCCCGCGGGGTTCCCCCACAGGGGCCCCCCATAGGCCATAGGCCACAGGGTTCTCCCGTAGGGGCTATTGGGGGCCCAGACGCGTGAGGAGGAGGAGGAGGAAGAGGAGATGGGGGGGGAGGAGGAGGAGGAGGAGGAGGAGGAGGAGGAGGAGGAGGAGGAGGGCCGGAGGAATCGCTCCCCGGTTGCATCCATTGATCGCGCGTTTTGCTGTTGTTGCATTCTGGCCGATTGATGCAATAAAATTCCAATGGATACGCAACATACAAAATAATGCAACAACTACATTCCATTCAAAAGAATACGCGCGATCTGGGGTCCTTGAGATCGCGCGCATTTTTTCGTATCTGCCCCGGCGGGCCCCGGAGATCGCGCGCATCTTTCAGCATTTGCCCCAGCGGCCCCCAGGGAGTCCGCGGCCCCAGGGCCCAGGCGAAGGAGACCCGGGGAGGATCGAGGTTCGACGAGCGAGAGTTTGAGGCAGTCCTCTGTCGGGGGCGGCAAAGAGGGGGGTGATGACTAGGGGGGAGTGGATATCATGGCGGGGGCCCATGAGATCTCCCCAGGTTCCATGGCGCCTCTTCTTAATTCATTACGTCCCTGGCCCCACCGCTGGGCCGCGCACATGCCGCCGGTCATGGTTTGCACCCCCCCCCTCTTGGACGCCCCCCTCTTGGCCGCTCCCGACTGGCTTCAGGCTCGCGTTCTGACCAGGGTTCCAATGCGAACCCAGCCTTGCAATGTCGACGTGGCCAGGCCGCCAGGGCGTCGTCGCCCAGGGGCTGCTGGGGTTCGAGCGCCCTCTCAGGGTGGAGGGTCCTGCCCATTCCCTCTCCTCTGCTTCCCCCTCCTTTACAGTTGCACACTGCAGGAGTATTGCTTTCCTCTTTCTCCCAAGCCTGCGCGGCCAGTCTCCCCGGGCAGCAGTGCGCTCTACGAGTTGATAGGCGAGTCGGAGGCGCTTTGCGCCGCGAATTCACGCCTCCCCTGGGGGCCTGGACTTATGTTCAGTCTCGTTTACGTTAATAGTGTTTCGAACATATATCGAAGTTGTTTGATTTGTTCCTTCATTTCAGCTTAGTGTGTGCATGTTTCTGGTTAAGTGAAATTCGACTTGCGTAACTAGCTCTCTGAGCAAGCCGCCTATCGCAACACTAACTTGTGCGAATGCATGGTTAACCGATCACGTAATCCGGTTAGATACGACGGCTAAACTGAGTCCGGGGCGTGCCAACCTATACGTCTAGAGCGATTTATCATCCAAGTGCATATAGCTTAGATTACGGACACATTGATGTTGCGTATACGCTGTGTAACTTAACATGCAATTAGCAATCGTTATCAGCGTGAGACGCAACAGTGACGTTTCTTGCGCAGCTCCAACATGCAGCGTATTGTCTACGCTCGCTCGGCTGTCGCCTTTCGCCCGCTAGGGTGACCTGCATCCTCTCCGCTCCCTGTGCGCTTGCAACGTTTGAGTTCTCTCTCTTTCTCTGCTGCTGCTGCTGGTGTTGTATATGCGCTGCAGTCCATGTACTGTCAGTTGTCTGGTGTCAATTCCGTGACACAGTATGTGCGACTATGAGGCTTGCGCTGGGTGGGGCAATCTGTCAGGCAGGACGAAACGTACTCACCTATGTGTTGCCGGTTGCGTGCTGTAAGCTTTGCAGTGCCATCTACGTGGCGCGCTGTATGTACGGCGGCAGCACAGAGCAACGCAGGGCCGCGGGGCATCGCAGATCAGCGCCAAGACGAAGCGAGCAAAGCTCTCCAGCGCAAAACAACGCAAAGCAAGTCAACGCAAAGCAACACAACACGACGCAAAACAACACGAAGCAACGCAACGCAAGGCAATGCGCAGCAACGCAGGCCAACGCACTGCAACGCCAAGAAATTCGTTTCAGGACAAAGCAGCGGAAACCAACACATCTCCATCTTCCTCCTGTTCCAGGCTCTGCTGGCCTGGGTACTTGAGCACTTTAGTTTTGGCTTTGGCAGCCTCAAGTACTATAGTCCCAGCCCCTGGATATCTCGGCGCCTTTAGTTTTTGATTTTCGGCCAACGACGCCGTCCTCTCACATTCTTCTCCTTGCCTCAGCATAGCATGGCCTCAGAACGTGCGCGAACCGTGCCTTGCATTGCGCTGCATACCTGAGCATTGCGTTGCGCTTCTCCGCATTGCTTCGCATTGCCTTGCATCGCTTTGCAGCGTTTCTTTTGCGTGGCTGTGCAGTGCGTTGCATCGATGCTGCATGGCGCTCTTTGATTTACATCACATCCATTGCATGATTTACTATGCTCGGCTCCACTGTTTGGGGTCCACGCTGGCTAATATTGTTACCGATTCCGAGAAATCGTTGCTTGAATTCTGGAAGTTTGCTGGTTGTCCGGTAGCGTATCTCCTTCTAGGGGAACATCAGTCTTCGAATGGCCAACCCGCACCAGCGGAGCAGGCAACGATCGCAGTCCGCACCAATGGGGCAGACAGCGTCCCCGATCGGTTATCGATTTACGAACGCGCACATGCCATTGTCTGGAGGTATGACGCGTGCCCTTTGAGTAACAGCATCGCGGGCGCCATGCTCGATGCTGTTGTCGACGCGCCCCACCGCTGGCCGTAAAATTGCTGGGTCACTTGTGTGGGCGGAGCGGCAAAGACGCAACGTCAGTTCCATCCCCCCAGTCTTCCAGGGTCCCCAGGCCGCCCCCACGAGGAAAAAGGGGGGGGAGTACGCGAGGCCTTCTGCCCGCCGGCCCCGCTTGGAACCCTCCAGGTGGTAGCTGCTGGGCCTTCTCGGCCTCCACCTTGCTGAGGGCCCACACCGAGCTGTACCGCGGGGGCGACCGCAAGTTCTCCCAGCAGCAGATCCTCAGCTGCACCCGCAACCCGCAGAAGTGCGGGGGCGGCGGCGGATGCTCTGGCGCCACCGTCGAGCTCGCCCTGGACTACGTGCACCGCAGGGGCTGCACCACGCCGGAGATCGGCGGCGAGCGAGGGGGGGCAAGGAGAGAGAGAGAAGGCCTTCTCAGAAGGTTCGGAAGTCCCCCGGCCTTTTGAACAGTTTTCTCAAGCCTTCCCCGGAGACAGAGAATAGCTTCTCAGAAGGCGCGAGGGCTTCTGAGAAGTCCCGCCGCCTTCTCAGAAGGCCATCTCCTTCTCATTTCCCCCCCCCTCGCTCGCCGCCGAGGAGAGCGTGCCCTACACCGGCAGCGACAGGCACGGCTGCCCCGCGTCGATGAGCGACGGCGGCGGCCCAAGCAGCGGGCGGAGGGCGGCCTTCCTGGCCCAGGGAGGCGGCGCCCGCGGCTCTGAGACGGGCGGCGAGAGCTTCGGGATGACGGGCTACACCCGCCTGCCAGAGAACGAGCTGGCGCCCGTGCTGCTCGCGCTCTACCAGCGCGGGCCCGTCGGGGTGTCGGTCGCCGCGGAGACCTCCTGGAACTTCTATGGCAGGGGCATCCTCTACGCATGCAGCAAGGACGCCGTCATCAACCACGCCGTCGTCCTCGTGGGCTATGGCGAGGACAGAGGCAAGCTCTACTGGACGCTGCAGAACTCTTGGGGCAGGCGCTGGGGCGAGGACGGCTTCTTGCGCCTGCGTCGGCACAGCCACGCAGAAGAGAGCCAGTACTGCGGAGAGGACCGGAAACCCGAGCAGGGCAGTGGCTGCAAAGGTGGGCCGAAGGCTGTGACGGTCTGCGGCTCCTGCGGCATCCTGAACGACGCAGTGGTGCCCAATTTCCGGCTGGGGGAGGGCGGCTGGTGGTCTTTGATGAGTCGAACTGGTGCGAATGCGACTTCGCGGATGGTCGTCGCCGACGGGTCGGTGAGTGTTTTCTGAGCCGTCTCGCTCGGGCCATCGCCCTCACAGCCGCCAGCGCGTTCCCCTCCCCTGTATCCCCTCCCCTCGTCGATGCGGCGGTGGGCCATTTCGGGGCAGTCAGTCCGACGCGCAATGGTTTTCTTGGGTGGTAGGGGGTGGGTGGGGGGGGCGAGGGGGGCGCAGCCGGTGTGCCTGAGCCCCTCGTCCCCATCTGGCCAGACGCCTGGCAGTCTTCAGGAGAGCCCACGACCACGGATCTGGGCGGAAGCAGCGCAAAAAAGAGCGGTCGCGGGAGCTCGTGGTCATGGCCAGTTGCTTCGTCAGGGCGGGTGCGCGCGCGCATCTCCGTGGGCTCGGCAAGCACATACCTCGGCCATGGTCTCGCTTCGCGTGGTCGTTGCGCTTGCCTTGCTTGGCGCTGTCTTGCCTCTGGTCGCATGCGGTCCAATATTTGTGATCTGGCGAGGTGCTTACTGCGTGGTGCCATTTTCGTTGATCTGGTCGTGTTGGTCTTGTTTGATACGAGCATTGGTCCCGTCCGACTGCAGACATCCACGTACACAAAGTCGACAATGTAGAAACGTAAGGTCCTTCTAACTGTAGTTGTTCCTCCATCTGTCTATTGACATTCGCTGCCCCACCATCTGCCCTTTCTTGATTTCTCATCTTGTTACCATGCCGTCTTCCCTTCCCTGTTCACTCACCTCCTCCCTACTCTGCGCGTCCATGCATGCGCTCGCAATGAATGGTAGGGGGATCTCGAACTGCAGACACTTGGCTAGCTCACTCTCCTCTGATCGGGTCTCTTCTGGGCGTCTGCCGTTTCGGCCTGGTCTGCTCGACAAGGGTATCGTGTGGCATTGCCGGTGGAGATCTTGTGGAGATCCGTGGTATGGCACCATGTGGTATGGCATGGCTACGTGTGCTACGACCTGGTCTGCAACCAGGTTCAGAGAGGAGGAGCAAGAGCTCGGAGGCGAACGAGGCTGGGAAGTGAGAAGGGGCGGGCCGTCTCAGAAGGCTCGGAAGTCCCCCGGCCTTCTGAGGGGCGTCGTCGGCCCGTATTGGGATCCAGCTGGCCGCCTCTCAAAACGAATGGGCCCTTTTCCTGGGTCGCTTCAGGGGCTTCTCGGGCCTTCTTGGAGGTCTCCTAGGATTAACTCGGGCGTGTCCCTTTACAGGAAAAATATGCAGAAATAGCCAGAAAATATAATGGGGACGAGTTTTCAACTATTTTTGATTTGTTGTTGAATATGTTTTTACTGTTGTTGCATCTTTCGCCCAAAATCCGCTTGTAGGGGGACATGCCCGACCTAATCTTGGAGGCCCCCCAGGAGCATTCGAGAGCGTCCTAGGAGCTTATTGGTGGCGTGTGGGTAACCTTTCAGGATATCTAGGAAGCCTCTTGGGAACCAGAGGCGAGGGGCACCACAATTCCTTGTGCTGATGCAAAAAAACAACAAAACATGAGATCAGTGTCTTGTGATCTCTGCTCATCGGCGACTTCTGTCTCAGAGAGGAGAATGAAGGTCTGGGGCCCACAGGGACCATGGGATTTCCTTCTCCTAATGTAGCTGTTCAGCTCCTCCCAGCACCCTACAAGGCCATTCAGAACCTCAGATCCGAGAGCGGGCCAAACTAGAATGTCGGCACATGCCCCACAACGGCTCCAGCACGGCCACAACAGAGCCCCAATGGTGTCCGTATGGGCACCCCAAAACAGTGTCCAGAGCGTCGCACGAGGTTCATCCGACCTGTAAGTTTGAGGCTCTCCATCCGAGATAGGACTTGCATTCTTGGCTTGTCGTTCTCTCCACGGTTGGCCAGCGGTCCTCCGCCTCCTCCGCTTCCTCCGCCTCCTCCTCATCCTCATCCGTCTTGATCTCCTCCTCACGCACCTTTGTCGTCTCCTCCCTGAAATCCGCTCATCCTCTTTTTCCTTATGCTTTTCCTCCTGCTCTTCCCGTGCGCGCAGGAGCCCGCGGAGGATGAGGAGCGGGAGCAGAGGGGGGAGGAGAAGGAAACATTGGAGGGGGAGGACGAGGAAGTAGGATGACAAGGAGGACGAGGAGGAGGAGGAGGAAGACAGGGAGGAGGAGGAGGAGGAGGAGGAGGAGGAGAAGGAGGAGGGGGACTACGCCGACGACGCGGACGACGCCGACGACGCCGACGCCGACGCCGACGCCGACGCCAACGCCGCCGCCGCCGCCGACGACGACGACGACGCCGATGGGGACGACGGCGGCCTCCTGCGTGCGGGCTGCCAGGAAGCCGGCCTGGCCCGCGTCGAGGTGGAGGGCGCTCTCACCGCCGGCTTCGAGAAGCGAAACTTGGCCAGCCCGGCCGTGAGAGGAGAAAAGGTACCCCATACTACCCTCGCCTCGTTTTCCCCTTTGTTGGGCCTCCCGGGAGGCCCTCGTCGCCACCACTGGCTTCGCCCCGAAATCCTCGTCAGAACGCACCCCGGGAGAGGTCTGAGGAGCAGCGGTATCGGTACCTTTTGGTTTCCCCAGGCCGGGGGCCAGCACGCGTCTGCGGGCATCTTCTCCGTGCGTGGCGCGGACGGATGGGCAATGGCGACTGCGGCGACGGCGACGACGACGACGACGACGACGGCGACGACGGCGGCGGCGACGACGGCGACGGCGACGGCGACGACGACGGCGACGACGACGACGCTGACAAGGACGAAGACGACGGTGGTGGCGACGACGGCGATGGCACCGGCGACGAAGCTGCGACGTAGGAGGAGGAGAAGGAGGAGGAGGAGGAGAGAAGGATGATCGAGGGCTTTGAAGGGCTTGTTTTAAAATAGTTCGCTGTATAACAAAACTCATAACATCATTAAAAACATCAGGCGAGTTCGAGCGGACTCGGACATCGTGTATTGATGTCGGGCCTGGACGATTTTAGTTACGTTTTCATCACTGCTCGTGTGTTTTTGCCGCGCGCTACTCCCCTCGAGCCAGCTCAACATCGATGAGGGGGGGTGGCCGGGATGAGACCACTTCGCTCAGGACAGCAGTGGCGAAGCTTCCTGGCTCGCTTAAGGCCCACCAGAGAAGGTCCTAAGAACCTCTTGCGGCTTGCACGACATGTTCTTGGAACATGTCTGGCTGAGACCGTTTAACGCATCGGCCTTGCAGTCAACCCGCATAGTCAGGATAAGCGATTGCCTAAGGTTACCCTGGCATCCTCCCCCTTTGGCCCATCCTTGGCCGCATTCGCTGGCCGCGCCCCGCTCGCATAGTGTCAACATGGCGTCTCAAGGCCCTTGCATCCTGACCTTGCGTCCTTGGTATACGGGCTGCCTGTATGTTCTGAAGACATTGCGATTCATGGCAGTGCCCGCACTCGCTGCCATGGGGCGGCAGCGGCTCTCCAATGGGTGCGGTTATAGCCCCCGTGAGGGGAAGCGGATCTCGCTGATTCTCTTTATCGATGTTGGTGGAGATTTGCGCTGGTGAAGCAATGTTCTGAGGACAATGCGTGTTAGGCCTGTAGGAATACACCCCAAGGGAGCTATTCGGACGCAGCCCCATCGAGGATGTACGCCCCCCCATCGTATACTCCAGGGTTGGGCCCCAAAGTGCTGGTTTGTTCGAAAACCGTACGTATCCTGGCATAGGGGTCGACAGATCCCCCGTTATATGAATGCCATGAGGACACTGCGTGGTGGGCACGTAGGAATGACTGCCGGGTTGGCCTCGTCCAGGCTCAACAAGATGCTCGCTGCAGGACTCGCTTCCCGTCTCCGGCGGTGCACCCCGACAACGGCCGCGAACGCAGAGTCGAGATGGGGGGGCCCGGGGGCGGCATCGACGAGGCAGCGTCTGTTGACGGGCGTTTTTTACGCGAACGGCGGCTGTGTGGCAGGCGGCTTGCGGGAACGACTGCCGGGACGGCCGGCCCAGGCTCCACGAGGTGCTCGATGGATCTGCACGAACGAGATGGGCACGGAAAGAATGGGTACAATGCTCAACAGCAGTTGCTGCTTATTTTGGACGGGACTCGCTGTCCGCGCCGCCGCGGCCTGTGTCCATTTGAGACAGAAGGCAGCCTGCCCAACAGCGGCCGCTGGTGGTTCGGGACAACACTTGCTGTTGGGCATTGTACCCATTCAAGCAGTAGCGAAGCGTCCCGGCTCGCCTATAGTCCCACCAAACAATGTTCTAAGAACTGTTTGTGGTTTCCACGAAATGTTCTTAGAACATTTCTGGC